TGGCTGGGGTCACCAAGTATCATTTCCTTGTAAGACCAATCGAGTACAGGGACAGTGGAATGAAGGCAAAGCGTGCATTTGTTTGATCACTTGTATGGCTACGAGAGCGGTACATTTCGAGATTGTTAGTTCTTGCTCTGCACAGGACTTTCTACTAGCCTTCCGTAGGTTTGTAGGACGACAAGGAACACCAGACGTCATTTATAGCGACAATGCGACTACATTCCGTGCTGCTGAGGATGCTAAAAAAATTTCGCTCCTCAATCCAGGAATGAAATTCACGAATTTGTCACTAGCCACAAAGTCCCTTAGAAGTTTATCACTTCAGTTTCTCCACGATAAGGAGGCTCTTTTATAAGAGACTTGTTGCCCTATTCACATCCGCTTTCAAGAAGACGGTAGGAAACGAGACTGACATGGGAACAATTACGAACGATAGTTGTAAAGATTGACGCTCAATCAATCTCAGTCATTAACTATCGGTTTAAAAAAACTTAGGGGAAAGGACGCCTCGTTTCGCAAATTACGACCAGCGGTCTTCATCTCACCGAAATCAGTCTTCAATTATGTATCCCCGCAAGGACACGGATACGACATTGCTGTCGATGGACAGACTAGCAGATTGATATAGGGAAACCCAAACTATTTTGAATTCATTTTGGGAAGTGTTTCGTACCGACTACTTTTCTTCTAGCGCCATTAATGAAGTTCACGCCAGCCTTGATATACACCTAAACATCCACAAGTCAACCTCGTGATAGTTGCGCAGGACAATGTGCCCAAAGGACAATGGAAGATGGCAACCGTGGTTAGACTATGCGGAAGTAATCTTCGCAGCGTGCGGACGGCAGACGAACTCCGAATGGAAATTATCCTCAAATGCCTCTATCTTGACTGTATCCATTGAAAATCCGCGCTTAAAACGATTGTACACCGATAGTTGAGCACAGAACGCCCTATAGGTGTTAAACTTCCACATCTCCTACGAGGATACAAAGCCCTCGTAAGGCTCAGTCTTTATCCCCATACACACGCCATAACTGGAAACGTGTTCATTTCCACAGCACACTCCGACCTTTAGCCTAAACACTTCGCTCAGGAAAGTTCCATGACAACATCAGCTCTCTCTCCTCCTCCGAAGCGCCGTCGCCCCCTCCCCCCACCACCCTCGATGGGCCCGCAGCCCATTTTACAGGAACGTCAGGAACAAGAGGAACCGATGGGAGTAGTCCTCTCGGTCGAAGTGGGCCCGCGTGAACGGGGACCAGCGTGGAAAGAGGCAACCGGAAGCCCTACTTCTGTAAACAGCGTCATTCCGCCATGGAATCAACGACATCAATCCGGGGGACTATGGTCTGCGTCTAGAGCAGCACAAAACCCTAGCAGACTTACGCCGAAGAGGACAAGGAGCCTAGACAGCCCGTCAGGTAAGTCTTTCCCGGATTGCACGTTTTATCCCTTTGTTGCTTTCTGTTCCACAACTTACGATTTTTTGAGTGAGCTTTAAGTCTTTGTTTTTGTTGTCAACTTTATTTAAGGTTGACTGGTGAGGGCATTCATGCAGAGTGCCGCGGGTTGCAAATGTTTGCCCCAATGTACGTTACCCCGTGTGACTTGACTTCTACAATTTATGGTTTTACTTTTGTACTTTTGTTTTATCTGTTTTTTTTTTGCTTTTTGCTTTGTTG